AGAACTTGGGAGGCAGAGAAAGTTCCAGGATGGCCAGGTCTACACAGAGAAACAAAACAAAACAAAACAAGAAATTATGAAAAAAAGAAAAGACCCCAGTAATTGTATCCAAGGATATGCAAAGCAAGTTTCGCTTTTTAACCACGAAAGTTAGTCAAAGCTATACAACTTAGCTAAATACATAGATTAGACATAGAGAATACAGTAGTCCACCTGAACAAGTGTTTGAATAGAACTTCAAGACTAAGCACCACTTAAACTAGGACTTTTCAAAGTAATTCATTTAAAGTTTTCCATACAGTATTTTAAGTTACTGGCTAGGTCAAATACGGTAACTTGTGAACAGATTACAGAACTACATTATTGCATGGGGGGGGACTACAAAAGGGCATAGAAGAATGTCTGTAGACATTCTCTATACCTACAAATGAATAATGTCTATACGGAAAATTGTGATGACATAATCTTTTAAAACTTCTGAGACTACACAAACTTCACCACTGAATACTCGTGTACAACTAAAGTTAGAGCCTTTAAGAACACTGCAAGATTCACCCTTCGCAATCGTTGCAGCTTAACAGACTCATGCTTCAAAGAATACAGTCTCTAGAAGCAAAGGAAAGCACCTGTTTTATCTTATTTTCATTCTTTAATAGAGTTTTACTCAGAAACATGGTCAACAGTTCTTTACAAACTTACAGGGTACATTTAACCCCATTATGAACTCTCACTGGCAGATGGAGAGATGACGTTGAGCCTGTTCTGAGTTAAAGAGATGTTTGTAGTAAGGGGGAACATCTTGTGGACTGTCAGACGACCAGCCATTATTCTTTTTCATTATCCTGGCCTCTCAAACAACTCAGACAGCAAAATAGAACCAGGCTGGTGACTATCAAAATAATAACACTAAACTAAGTAAGCAGAAAAAAAGAACAGGATGACGGAGTCTCCTTGTATTTCTCCTAACAAAGGGGCAGAGTGGAGAAAAGAAACTCCTTGATCTTGTTAACTGAAACAGCAAAATTCCAAAAAATAAAACATACACAGAATTTACTATATATTTTCAAACTTATACATTCACTTTAGTTGGAAGTCCATGACTGGGGTTCTTTCAATTTCTAATCTCCATTTCTAATTACCTAATTCCAAAAAAGCCTTATCTTTTTCTCTTTCCTCCTAAATAAATAACAATAAGGTGCAAAGAAAAGGCCTCAGGTCTCCTCACCTGATGCCTGAGTCTGAGACATTTTGGTTTCAGACCAAATAGCAAGAATGGGGAAAGGGGACCAAAGAATAGTATTTTGTTATACTTCATGTTACACTTCAAATCCTGGATCACATACACCCCTAAGATTTTCCTTCCAACCCCATTCCTCAACAGAAAGTCTGCTCAGACCAAAAATTTTTGAAAGTGGGAAAGCAAAGGAAAAGAATCAAGTGCAATAGGAGAGAAAGATTTGAAATACCTCACTCACCACTAACAACAAAAAAAAATGCTAAAAGTACAGGAAAGTGCTTACACACAAGTGTACCGGCATTCCCCAAATTAATTTGCATGTAGCCAACAATAAAAGTCCATGCACCACCAACTCCGAGCACTTAATTCCAGAACACACAACGATGTGGAATGACAGTGTTGCAATGACTGTATCAGAAGGCAAAGAAAATGGTTGGGCTGCTGGACGTCCTCAACCAGCCCATTCAAACACCTTCAAAATTAAACACGGGCCGAGGCACGGGGAAGAGATACACAGAAACACCGAAAAATAAGGGTGCAACGACCAGAAAAAAACGAAGGGAAAGATGGAAGGCTGGGAGTCCCGGGACTAACCTGTGCCGTCGCTGGCCGACGCCGAGAGGGCCGGAGACGAGAGTTTAGGCCGCTTGGCTGAAGGCGGCCCCGGTTCCACCACATTCTCGGCCATTTTTAATTCTTTCGGAGATAGAGCCGAGGAAAAACGAGAATCCTGAGGAAATTTCTTCTTCGGCCCGGGGTCCCCGCCCCGCACCTAAGGGTGGGCTCGGGAGCTCCGCCGCCACCCAAGGGGGGTGGGGGAAGTTCCTTTTTCTCTTCGCCCGGTTGCGGCGGCCGGAGAGGGATGCGGACTCAACAGAAATGGTAGGGACAAGTGCGAGGGGCCGGGCCTGAGGAGGGCACAGCAACACTGATCCGACGGGCACGTCCGCTGCAGCGAATTCTCGGGAACTCACAGCTCTACAAACGCAGTCCCCAGCCCGCCACGGCGGGCCCGTACCCAGCCGAGGTCTCTCGGAGCTCCGCCGCCGCCATCAGCCTCTTCCTCCTCGGCGCTGTCCTCCTCCTTCTCATCGCCACAAGGAGGCGGGGGCGAAAAAGGGGGAGAGGAGGAGGCGACCAGAGACACTCACCTCCTCCCGGTGCCCCCTCCCGGGCCTGCGCCCCCCTCCTCCTTCTCCTCCTCCTCCTTCTCCTGCCGCTGCGCTCCGCGCCGCCGCTGCCGCACCGGCCCCTAATGGCCGCACTGAGCTCAGCCGAGCCGAGAGCCAGACTGGCGCCGCCGCCGCCGCCGCCTCACATAGCGTAGCGGACGGCGGAGGCGCGGCGATGAGGCCTGGCGGGGCGCCTGGCGGCCATTAGGGGCCGGTGCGGCAGCGGCGGCGCGGAGCGCCGCGGCAGGATTTTTTTTTTTTTTTTTTTTTTTTTTTTTTTTTTTTTTTTTT